CGAACAAAACCCCGGTTGACGTCGTCTCTTCCTGGAAGTCTCGACAGCGTACTAGTCATAGCTTCCGCTCCCTATCACTTACTTTATCCTGGAGAAACTCTTTGATCCAATCGTCCCAAGACTCCGCCCGCACCAGACACTCTGTGAACTTGTTATCTCTCGTTTTCTATCGAGCACATACATAACCTCAAAGTTTAGTCATTTCACTGATCTGATCAGGTGTGTCCGCATGGAGACAGTTCCGGACGATGGTTATGCGAAGTTCGAGCCCATGTACCAAATGGATAACGCGGATAAGCTACACAGTAGGAGAGTCAAATTCAAGGCCGGCAAAGACAAGTTGTCGGTGCATGTGAAATTCAAGAAAGGTGTTTTGAAGATACCACATTTTTCCGTTGAAGACAGTACGAAGTTAGAACTTAGAAACATAATGGCGTTTGAACAATGCAATTATCCGTACAGTGCCCACGTATGTAACTACATCATATTCTTGGATCTCCTCATCGACACTGATAAAGACGTCGACTTGCTTGTCGAGAAAGGTAACGTTTTTCTAATTGTTTTAGCTATGTAGGGTCTCTATACACTACAAGAAATAAGCCAGTTTCTGACGACCATTTCAGTCGGAATATGGTCGGAAACACATGTTTCCGATGAATTTCCGACGAACCAAATGTCTTCGAAAAAGCCTGGTCGGAAAATTAATGTGGTCGTAGTTTGGTCGGAAATTCCTAACCATTTTAATGGTCAGAAGAATGGTGAGGAAATACGTCGAAAAATGGTCGGGGACTTATCGACCCAATTCCGACCAAATCCCAACCAGTTCATCCCAATCAATTTTCGACCATATTATCCCAACGAATTTCCAACCAAAGTTTACTGACATATTTTCGACAAATATTTACTGATGAATTTCCGACCAAGTTTACTGACAGATTTCCCACCACATTCCAACCAGATTATCCCAATCAAAAGAAATAAAATACACTATTCAGAATCAGATACATATTCAGAAGATGCAGAATCGGTATAGTCCTCAAATTCGCCTAGTTCATCTTCGGATATGTCCAATATATCATCCAATATAATGACCACTTTCCAACGGTCATTAACGGCTATATTTTAAAAAAAAATCGACGACAATCTGACCACTCTCGGACGATCACCTGATGCTCTTACATGCGTCGGAATATCGTCAGGAATTCAAAATATTTTCCGACCATTTTCCGACCATTTCTTCACCATAATTAAATGCATTAAAGCAGCTATATTTTGAATGTTATTCCGACTATGTTTTGACCATTTTCTGATCACGACGCTGACGACTTTACTTTGGTCAGAAATTGGTTAGGAAACTCCGACAAATTTCCGACGACATAATTTGGTCATAATTTCCCGATTGAAACCCGACCATTATTATATGGGTCAGAAGAAGGTCGGAAATTGGTCAAAAAGTTTTCCGACCAATTATAAAGTGGTCGGAAAGTGACTTGTTTTCTTGTAGTGATATGTGTATGTGACTGATTCATGATGGGTTTTGGTTTTTGTAAGGTATAATAATGAATGGGGTTGGGCACAATGGTGCGGTTGCTAAGATGATGAACAAGCTCTGTTTGGGAGTCTTGGACGATGGCTCTTACTATTCTGATATCGCAGAACAAGTCATCGATCACTACAGTAACAAGTGCGTTAAGTCACGGTCCATACTCAGGAACGTTTATTGCAGCGACCCGTGGAGAGGGACAGCCACTGTAGCCGCTGCGTTGCTATTGCTGCTGACTCTTATCCAGACTGTGAGTATTGAGCTAGTGGTAAATATGGGTATTAAAAATTTCATTCTCGTTTAGCTAAGTTTGTGTACTTATCCGTTTGTTCTTCCTCTCCTCTGTTATATAATTCGAACTCATGAGGGGGTGGAGCTTAAACCTCGAACCAAATTAAATGAGCTACACGATTAATTAAGCTAATTGCTATAATAAATTAAGCTAATTGCTCTACTTTTTCATTTAATAAATTTCAGTTTTTGATTAAGTAGATGGTTAGTTTAGTTATAAGC